CCCACACCCACACCCACACCCACCCACACCCACACCCACACCCACCCCACACCCACACCCACATCCACCCAAACCCTCAAGATAGTATGATTCAATATTTAATGAAGGTAGCAAAAAATGCTGATAAAACTAGGGTGATACTACCAAGAATCAAGCAAACAAGAAAAGCACGTTCACATAAAATAATTTTAAGCTGTAATTGTTAAATGACATCCATGCAATGGAATAGAATTTAGCCTTTTGCAAGTGACTTAACGTATCTAACGTACTAATGTAATATGTTTGCAAAATGCATTATTTTGTTTATTATTATCATGTATACTGTTGTATGAGCCTTATCTCACTTACTAAAGGTTTTTTGTTAAGACTTTAGATGGTTATTCGACAACGAGAAGAGCATGACATGTCGCACAATACTATACATTTATTGAAGATGACACACTCTTATTCTGTTTGATGAACGTGATTATACTTTTAACTATATAGAAATGAATATGTAGGTATATATCTTTCAATCAGTGAGACAGTAGACATGTTGCTGAGGTGGGTATTATTATTATCTCAACTGCTTCTTGTCACTGCGGGCTATAATCTATACTCAATGATTGATAAGTGGACAGATACCAAATATGACTGCCTTTACAGTTACTCAGGTCCTGATTTTTTCCGAAACTTGATCATTCACAAAGGTCCAGCACAACGACAACCAACAGAACAAATATCATCCTTTTGTCTCGTTGTCTCATATTCAACTCATAACGAAGAACAATGTACCGTAAATGACGGTATAAACTGGTCATTCGAACAACTTCATAAGCTTAATATCACAAGTAATGATCTTGTTTACTGGAACGCCCCAGTCTATACTATGGATGAGTATGAACGTTATCTTCACACGGACAATGATCAGTTAAGCGCAATTCACTTTTGCAACTGCACGGATAAGTTTCACTTTGGTACATATTGTCAATACACTTTCGATATAAAAGAAGAATCTTTCGATAGGACACTTGCATTTCATTTTTCCAGTCGTAAGTCTGTTTCTAATGATAAAGCAATAACAATGACAGACATAGATGTCACTTGTTATAAAAGAGATCCTTCATGTCTTGGAGGGTGTCTTGACTGGCGTCAAATTTGTAATGGCATTACTGATTGTAACGATGGTTTTGATGAAAGATTATGTGAACTGCTTGAATTTAATGAGTGTAATGATGATGAATATCGATGTCGGTCTGGCCATTGTATACCATTGGTATTTGCATTTGATACGATATTTGATTGTGCAGATGCTAGTGATGAAACTAAAAAGTCTGTGTCTCAGTTCATGAATGACCGATGTTTCCAGCGAACACCGAACATGTTTTGCGATGATTTTAACGATGCATCGTTGAAGTATCCATGTGGTGATGGCGAATCAATTCAAAGTTTATTTTATTTCTGCTCGAATGGACGTCACAGCCTCATCTTAAGGCAACTTTATGCTGATGATCAAACACTGTGTTTCAAGTATATGTTATGTGCTCAATCAGAAAATATATGGTTTCCGCCGTTATTGAATTATAGTGTCTTTTGTGATAATATTAATCCTTATTCATCTGCACTATCATCAGTATGCCGTGAAGAAACAGTTTTATTTCCGCCGAAGCCACTCATGCTTTTTCCTTCAGTTTATTTGGCTTACCAAACGAATAAAACTGAACATTTTTCACCTGATTTCATTTGTTATTCAGAATGCGACCATATTTATCCACCGAGTTCAATACAACATGGATATTCATGTCGTTCAGTGACTGATTTCAACAGTGAATCATTTCTGTTATCAGAGCAATTACACTCTCTGGCTACTGAAATCTTATATTTATTTACCGGATGTACCGACCACAAGAGAAGAATCAATACATCATTGATATTCTATTGCCCGATAACACGTAAAGTTATTTCATATTATCGTGTCAAAGATGGATTCAACGATTGCCATCGAGACTTAGATGAAACCTTTAATGGGAGTACTTGTATACAAAATTCTACGCAACGATTTCGATGTTGGACTACCTCAGATGAATGCATTCCATTACGTTTTGTACTAGATCAACAGCCTCATTGTTCAGACGAATCTGACGAATTTTATGATATAAGATGCGAGAACGGATTAGAACTGGCATGTGACTATCAACGTGGACTTTATCGACCACCATTGCTCCACTACGAGTTTTCGGTAATAGATGCATAACATCTTTTTAAAGTAGGATAAGAATCCAAATGAGTGTCTTGTAAAGTTTGTGATAAATTGTTTCTTTCAAATAACAGTTCCGAAATTTCATACATAACGAAAGAAGTGATTCATTTGGTAATTTCTGTTCAAGTTACTATTTTAAACATAGGAAAGAATTCAAGTATAAAGAAAAACGTGAGGAGGATTCATGCCATTGGATATGCTTTGCAGAGAAATACAAATAAAAAATTTCCATTAAAATACCATCATTAAAAGTAGATTCAAAATGAACAGAACGCCTACTCGTAATGCTCATATCTGGTCTCAGAATAATGCCAAAATCTTGACTGGCTTTCCACATCTGCTACGACACGCCTAGGGGTGGAAAGTTACGGTTACCATTACCTGGGTAACCGGTAACGGTACCGGTACCAGTTACTTTTTCCTGGTAACTTCTCTAAAAAGATGAATTATTACTTCCCATGAACAGAATTTTGCAACTGCGTTATCTTTTAAGTTGACCCGTTCCCAGGTAACTGGTAACGGGTAACGGGTAACAGTTACCATGGTAACTGGTAACTCCAAATTTTTTTTGCTAGTGTATTCTCAATATTCGGTCCAATAGAAGTGATATTTAGTCTTTTCAAAAAGTTACCAGGAAAAAGTAACAGGTAACGGTCCCGTTACCAGTTACTCGGGTAACTGGTAACTCCTTCCATAGGAACCGTTACCGTTACCGTTACCGTTCCCGGGTAACGGTCTGGGAACGGTAACTTCCCACCCCTAGACACGCCACATGAGATCTACAAAACTAATTTTTATTGATGGGAGCAAACAATGCTTTGTTAGATAAAATATGACTTGTAAACAAAATTATTTTTAAAATAAACAATAGTTAATAAAAATATTCTTATAGATAATTCATATTTTTAAAATAAACAATATACCCAGGAGATTCAATCCGACCTGTAGATTCGATCGAAAACGATCGGATCCGCCTCGGATTTCATCGGAATCCGATATCTTTCATAAAAAACCGATCGGATTCGACAAGGTTTTTGTCGGATTCCCATCAGGCGGATTTCGGTCCGGATTTCATCGGAATTTGACGGAACACGATGAAATCCGGGTCGGATCAGGTCGGATTTTATCACGTTCCGTCTAATTCCGATGAAATCCGGATCAGAATCCGGCTGATGGGAATCCGACAAATACAGGACCGGATTCGACCGAAATTATTCCGAACTGGCGAGATCCGACCGGGGTCGTTTGACCTGGGTAGTTGATAAAAATATTCTTATAGATAATTCATTTAACTAAATTCTTGCTATTAAAATTTTTTAATAAATAAATATGCTGAGGACAATCATAAGTAGGTTTGTATAAACATGATGTTTTTAGTGCAACTCAGGCTCTTAGATAAGTTGGTATTTTAAATTATCTTCAATGATAGTGAATATGACACAAATGTTCAAATCATTCGACTGTACACTATCACCTTATTATCTCATGAAAAGCTATCCACAAAAATGTTTTTTAAATTATTATGAGTCTTTAGATTCATATAACAAAGCATCATATCGGATCATAATACAAACAACTTCATCTGAATCATTTTTTTATCGGTAGATTAGTTCTAGTTTTCGAATTTGTAAATTCACTCGATATAAGGTTTCGATGAAGTTAAAAGTTCTCCACTAATAGAATAGTTCATTAGTATAAAACAAAATCAGGAAACATATTAACGATAAAATCAAGAGAAAAAATCCCAAACTTGTTGTTCGCAACCAGAAAAGAACATAGAATTTATCACTACTACCATTTTCATAAAGCATTGACAATGTTCTTATTTACTGCTAACAGGTAAAATACACTGTAACTTATTTTAGACATCATTTTTCGTCACAATTTCATCAAAATAGATTATCTTTATCTTCCCATCATCTGAAGGAACATATTTTCATTTATACTTTATATTTGAAGGACTTATGCGATGGTAAAAAACGTCAACCTTCTTTGCTTCAATTTATTAATGGTACAGATGAAACTGATTGCGAAGAGTTTTGGTGTTTTTCAGCATCCTCTACACGATGCGATGGTTACTGGGATTGTGCTGATGGTCGTGATGAGCTAAACTGCTCTCTTGAGTCATTACCTACTCATGCAAGATTTGTGAAGATGTTGCATACACTAAACGGTTGTAATGATACAGAGCACTTTTGTTTACATATTTTCAATGGGTCAAAAGAATCATCTCGTTACTGTATTTCTGTTTCATTAGCAGGCGATGGCCATGTCGATTGTTGGGGTGCAACTGATGAACGTTATAGCACATGTGATTATAGAAAGATCACGAACAATGTGAGAAATGTATATTCCTGTTCCGGAGGAAGCAATAAGTGTATGCTAGTAAAACATGTTTGTGATGGGTCCTCAACATGTAAGTTGGAGGACGACGAAAAGGTATGCGATTGGCTTCCAAAGAATGCTGCCTTAGATAAATTTTACTGTCGCAATGGTACCGTTTTTACTCGAATACTTGTTCGATGTAACGGAATATTAGACTGCCAGGAGGGCGAAGACGAATGGTTTTGCGATTTACAGATGCAAAGGCAGGTCGTCACTGCAATGGAATATGAGAGACTTGCTTCTTACCCTTCGAGTCTTCAAAATATCACTACACCATTCGTCTATAACAAACAAACTAATATTCTTATTTCTTCTAATGTAATGTCTGATTGGTTTTGTAATCGTGGGATCCCAGTGATGGATACAGGGTTGCGCCGTTGCCTGTGTCCATCAAGTTATTTCGGAGAACGTTGTGAAAATCAGCGAGAACGAATTTCCATAGTTCTACATATCGTTTCATCACCAAAATTTCAAAGAAATAACGCCATTAAAGTTATTTTGTATTTAGTTGATACGGCATCTCAACAGATTTTAGCAGATGAAGAAATTTTGCATTTTCCCTATGTTCATTCATCGTACAAACATTTAGTTTTGCTATCCTCTGATCGAGCTTCTCATTCTTTTGTTCGTATTGATACATATGAAGTGGATATGAAACAAGTCATTGGCTATCGTGCATCCTGGAAATACGACCTTCCTTTTCCATTTTTACCTGTACGCCGATTAGCCATTCGACTTGTTTTGTCAGATGATAATGGTTTCTCAGCTCAAACGGGATTCACATGTCACACATGCATTCATGGCCAATGTTTACCATATCAAAATTCTGATGACGTATTTTGTCAATGCTACGATGGATGGACTGGTATCGGATGTAATGAATCTTTCATTTGTGCATCAGGAGCGATGCCTATTAATTCAAATCGATGTGTATGTCCAATGAATCGCTATGGTACTCGATGCTTTATCTCAAACATTGCTGTATGTCAATGTCGCAATGGAGGTACTTGTATACTGCTAGATGCTCGTGCTGGACAAAGTGCATGTTTGTGTTCAGAAAATTATTTTGGTCAGTATTGTGAACGACAACATGCTAGTCTCAAAATAAAAACATTTGATATATATCAGCCTGAAATATTACCTATCGTTCTAATTCAGTTCATCCAATTTCATGAATTGGACTACACGTATTTTGAAAGTACAATTTTATTTGAACGTATTTCAACTATTCGAGCTCTTTCAATATATCACATCGATCACGAAAGTCTACCACCTATGGTTATTAGTAAAATCTTTTACAGCTCATCAGCTGAAGATTATGCTTATTATATTATTTTACAAGTACCCTTGCTCATATTTCGAAAGGATTTTCAACTCAAATATGTAGAGACACAACTAGAAACAAGACAAAAATGTTCAGATGTACGTAAGATGAAAAGTTTTAAGACACCTATTAATATACTTACATATCCATACATCAAGCGTATTAAATATTATCTTCGTGTATGTTCCCAAAACAATATAACATGTTTTCATGATGAAATCTATTTTTGTTTGTGTCCTACACAAAAAAACCAAACTGCAATGTGCAAAATCTACGATCACAATCGAGAAAAATGTCAAACGTCTAGTTATTGTCTCAATGGAGGTTTATGCATTGAAAATCGACGTAAAGGAATAGTTGAATTTGCATGTCTATGTACATCATGTCATTACTATGGCTCACTATGTCAATTCTCAACAGGGCAACAAGGTTTATCACTCGATGCATTGATTGGCGTTGAGATGCGTACAGGAAAAACTCTATCAGAACAGTCGATACTAATCAAAATGAGTCTGACCATCCTTACATGTATCATTACACTTGGATTCATTGGAAATATCTTGTGTGCAATAACATTCGTTAGAAAAAAATCTCGAGAAGTAGGATGTGGCTATTATTTGTTTCTTATATCAATATATAATCAACTTGCATTAATACTACTTGGTTTGAGATTTGTATATCTTCTTATCACTCAAATGATATTATCAAATAATCGAATTCAATTGCTTTTTCTATGTCAATGTCTTGAATTTGGACTAACACTCTTTCCAAATCTTTCCAATTGGCTATCAGCATGTGTGAGTGTAGAGCGAACATATGTAGTATCATATGGTACTTTCTTTAATCGAAAGAAAAGTGTACGTGCTGCTAAGCTATTATGTATTACTTTGTTGATAGTACTTGGTGGTATGACTGTACATGAACCTATGACACATTATTTGATTGAAGATCCTCGCTTGGGTCGGTATACTTGGTGTGTTACTAAATTTAGTTCAACACAGTCACAAAAATTAGCATCGATACTCTCAATTATTAATTTAATAGGTCCTTTTCTTATTAATTTATTTTCAATGAGTGCTCTCATTTTTATTATTACACGAAAAAAATTAAACCTACATACTGGTAATTCTCGACCATCGTTCATTAGTATTCTATATCAGCAAATGAATCACTATAAACATTTCATCATTAGTCCAGCAATTTTAATCTTTCTTGCTTTACCACGTTTAATTATTTCACTTGGATCACTATGTATCGACACATCATGGCGTAACTATGTATTTCTTACGGGATATTTTATTTCATTTGTACCATTTATGGCAACACTATTTATTTTCATCATCCCTGCACCAATCTATCGAGATGAATTGGAACTATCTTTGAAACGCATTCGAAAATATATCTGAAATACTATATTTTACATTAATTTTGTGTTCATAGATAGATACTGGAACATGTTTCTTCAGATGGGTGTAGGGTGTATGGGATGAGGACTGTCCATAACAAGAATATTCATATCTAGATCTAAATTCAAGCCCAGAGCCCACAAGCGTAGTTTCAATCAGTATGAAATCGAAATTAATACTGAAATCGACATTTTTTGCACGTTTTTGTACTTCATTTAGTAAAGACATAAAGTTGGATAATTCAGAACAGAGAAAAACCAATTTCGCCGACATGTTTAAAATCATCGTTACGAAAACAAATGATTAACAAAAAAAAGAACAACCATTGATTGATATCTATTTCAAAAAGGGGCGTAAGCGTGGACACAGATAAACATTTAATTGACAGCTACAATCACATCTGCCCCTAAATCCACACCCCCTTCATACGTGAATACTATAAATGTTTTAATATTAACAAATATCTGAAAATATTAGTTTTTGTTTTTTTTTGAAATAATTTAAGAAATTGTTAATTGTCAGTTGACTTTAAGAGACAATCGAGTTCAATTTTTTATTCATAATATAGTGCACGTCAAAAGTTTTTCCCCCTTTTGTATATTATAGTTTTTATCATTAAAGCTTTTTAATTTATTAACTTTCTATATATAGAAAGAAGGTCCAGAACGCGCTGCATCTAATGGTATATTTACATTGAACAACAAATACAGTTTGAAGTTTAAAAGGTCTATTAGAAAAAGACGTGATATTTTTTTTACTGCAAAAATTGTGCAAAATCTTAAAATGTATGAAGAGTAACTAGTTTTTAGGATAACTTTTGATTAAAACAAGATAGAGATCTCCGGCTTTCAGCGTAAGAAAGAGGACATACAGATGCATCGAACTGTATACTCCTAATGTCTCTGCCAAGTTTTGTTAGGATCTTTAGCGAACTTTTCTTCAAAAATCGAGACTTTTACAGAGGATAAAGTGAAGTTTTTTGCAGAAATACGAAACAGTCGATTTTCGAAGAAAAGTTCGCTAAAGATCCTAACAAAACTTGTCAGAGACATGCAAAGTATAGAATTTGATGGATCTTTATGTCCTCTTTCTTACGCTGAAAGCCGCAGGTCTCTATCTTGTTTCAACCAAAAGTTATCCTGAAACGTAGTTGGGTGTGGGTGTGGGTGTGGGTGTGGGTGT